AAAAAAAGATCGACAAGGACAAAGAGTAATAATTAATATTAAAAGTCTGATTGCAGATATCTGTCTATAAAGTAGAATGAAAAAATATTAATTAACAAGGCATTGAAGCACGAATATTTAGATGACGAGTTAGTCAAGCATAAATATTTTCTGTTAGTAGATGAAAAAATGAAGAAAAAAAATATGTTAAGAAATATGACGCACATATTATTATATAACCTTCAGTTTGAATATTGATTTTGTATGTATACAATCTTGTACCATTCTTTATTTCTTCTATGACTAAACGTTTTTTTTTTCAGAATGAATATTTATTAGTCGATCAATTTCAAGATATCAAAAACTTAGTTGGCTAGATTTTCTTTTATTTTGTTTCTAAAAGTATTTTACCCAATCTCTTATTGTTTGTAGAATATGATGGATCGTATTAGTAGATTATCTACTAACCAATCAACAACTGCATTCTTTACCTGTTCAGTTTGTACCGCAACATCAGCAGTCTCAGCAGATGATATATGTGATTTTTGTTGGTATGACTTTGAAGCGACTGAGGATGAACGTCGTATTGTGAATGAATCAAGCGTATTTCGTGAATTATCTGTTCATCAATGGTATGCTAAATTACATGTAACGAAAATACCATTATCTTGGTTATCTCCAGTAACTGTTATGCATATATTACACGATTGTTTTCGTGTATTTTTATTTAAACCAGCAGTTGAACGATGTTTACAAACAGCAACAAATGTATTTCCTGATGGTGTTCTTTGGCTACGACGACTTATGAGAGGTTCATTGCCTATTATATTACAATCAACAGTAACTGATCGAATTTATAAATTTTCAGCTGGAAGTAATAGAACACCTGTTTGGTATAAGATTACGAAAGACGAATCTGATTCTAAGTTAAAATGGTCATGGACTCCATACAATCCAATGACAGACAACGAAAATACTGGATGGTTACCATGTCCGCAATTACTCGTCTCAGAAGGTAGCTTTACTGGTCAGGTACCAGTAGCCGAAAGTATTTTCATCATTATGTTTTTGCATACATTTCGTCCAGATCCACCGTCTGAAGAAATGGTTAATAAACGAAACTCTAATCTACGAATAAAAAATCGCGTACGCGAAGACGTTTTAAAAAACTTTTCAAATTTAACAGTGAAAGCAAATAAATCTTAATGTTGAAAATATTATTCTTTATATGCATTTCTTCGTAGTCAGAACCATTAAACAATCAAATATCAAATAATTTTCACGCAAATAGATTAATCTATAATAAGTTTGATAGAAGTTCTTGTAACGACAACCAGGAGCATTTCGTAATACAAATATATTGAATTTGCTTACATAATGTTTTTGAATATAAATTGAGTCTATTGTTATATGTCTATCCTTCAATTATCATTATTATCTCGTTCTTGTTCGATGCTATATATTTTCACATTAGTGAGATGTATGAATGTCTCTTCGTTTAGCGAGACAGAGAAACTGTCGATTGAATAATTTATTGTATTCAAAAAACAAAAAAAAAAGATACTACATCGAGAAAATGATACATGATAAGATAACGAAAGCGAGCAGAGATATCTGTAACAACATCTAAATACACTTTGATCAAACAAGAAATACATTCACATATATTTAATTTGTATTTCTTCTTTTATATGAACATCTAATTCTGTATTTGACCACATTTACAAAGACGAAAGCATCTATTCATTAGTGATTGTATAGATTCTCGAAATGTTTTTCGAAACATAGTACTCACACAACAATTGATATAAAAAGCCATACCATAGTTTGCGTAATAAAGTATAGTGCTCACTTGTAGAATAAAATATTCGACTTGTTGTCGTTCGACACTCTTTTGTACGGAACTTGTAATCACATTGTATGAATACGTGATACCACGTTGGAATGTTAATAAAGTAGACAAAATAGCATTTGCAAATACTAAAATGAGTAGTTGTCGATTCATTCGCTGAACACCAGGACTTTGACCATTGGAGTTAGAAATCGAAGCAATGCGATTTTTCGATTGTTGCAAGTGCCTCCATGTCATAATGCCACAAATTATCATGCCTGCATTAGGAATTAGAAAACAGAAAGCAGCACCATAAACAGTGACTATAATCGATTCAAGGCCAGGTGATGGTGCACATATACCATTGCGAATATCATATACGATTAGTTGAAAGCTGCCTGAGATTAAAATAAACAGCATGGATACGATGAAAAGACGTTGAGCAAACCAAATAGAACTCAATCGTCGCCAGCGAGCATTTGGTGATGTTGATACACATCGGTCGAACGTTGCCAATAAAACACCTGTTGAAGCCATCGCTGGTAAACATACAAGAAAGTAACCACGTACTTTACAAATACCACGATTAGTATTAACCAAATTATTTCCAAAATATTCTGTTGCAAATCGAATTATAATACCAAAATTGCTGCAGAACAAATCAAGTGAAGCAGAACAAACCATGTAAAATATGCAAGCTTTTGTTCGAAGATTTTTCGATAAAAATGCGATAAGATTACATATATTTCCAATTGTTCCAATAATTAATATGATGAAGAAACTATAGATAGTGAAATAAGGTGTTATTGCTGCTAATGATACCATGTTGATCGAATATAATCAGAGAGAAGTAATGATATTCGCAATGATAAATTCAGTATGGATATAATTTTTACTTCTGATTGTTTGATAAAAGAATAAAATCAAAGACATGTGTACCTAACGGACTTCTGTTCAAAAATGAGTTGTTTTTTTCGCTTTTGATGAAGATGCAGATCATATTCTGTGCTATGTGATTCTGATTTTAATTCACATGAGAAGATAGAGGAGATGTATCGCTTGTCTTCACATAGACAGACTGTTAGAAAAATGAAATCATGAAAATGTAAAATCATAACACATGAGATACTCTTTTGAGCTTAAAACTGTTACCACTTCTGATTTTGTCAACGACTTCCTGTTTTTTGAAGTTTTGCTGGTTTTCTTTAGAACGTATTACTTACTCTTATGATTGAAATTTTTCATCTAAACTATCTTTTTTTCACAATTATACAAGAATATTAACTAAAAATAACCACCAATACTTATTTTCGGTTTTAATTTATTTTTCATCTATATTGTTTTTATTTCTGATGTAATTTATAGAAATTAACATACAGCTTCAAGCTTATAGCATTTTAATTAACTTCTGTATAAGATTTTAATCCTATCTGTCGATATTATCTTGTTCAAATTTGATTTTACTATCTTATTCAGAATCGTTCGTTGTTAATTATTATTCCCGATTCTCCATTTTCAAGATCTCTAATGGTTTGTCTAATTAATAAATAATTTCTAATCAATTGCAAAAATCGATAACTAAACACGATATATCAGTGATTTTCACCCACATGATATGTCTTTGAGACATCTAAATCTTTCGTATCTCATCCTCCTGAGAGGAAAATATTAAATGTAAATACAACATATACTTTCTCATGATCTCAATTTAAATTTACTTTTATTCTTTGACAATCCCATTAATAATCATCCATAAAAATATTAAAATCTATATTGACAGTTTAGAAGATTTTTTTTCTATCCAAAATGAAAAGAATAAGTCTTATTGTATTGTTTGTTGCTCAGATCCTTGTTTTTGTATTTTTCACTTAATACCGTATGATAGTTATTGAACTATATCTCATGAAATGAACTAGATGAGTATTATCTATTCAAAAAGAAATTTTTATTAATAAAATTCCATTATATATGTAGTTTTTTCTTTATATCAAAGATGAGAAATTAATACTTCATCAATTACGAAGAAAATGTAATAGAATGTTTTCATGACAACATCGCTAATTATTCGTCTGAGATGAAATTGAAAGAAAATAGTATATCATATCAAATATTTTAGAACTGAAAAGTATTTCTAAGTTAAATACAAAAGATAGTGCATTTGGTATACTTTTGATATTTTTCTTGTTTAGTTTTTTTTTCAGTCTTTTAATTTATGAATTACAAGTGATAAATGTGAAAAGCCGCAAGACTAAATCAATTTATTAATTTATTTTCTCATCACTTCATATGACGATAGTTCTCTTTAAATGAAAGATCTTAATATAGAAGCATTATTATTTATTATATCATCCGTTAAGCTTTAATTATCAAAATACGTGCTTTACATATAAAGGATACAAAAAAACAATTTTTTTTTATAATCCCTTCGGCTACTTCCGGCTATCACAATGTCTCCATCAACATTATTGTATTATTTTTAACACAATCCATTTTTATTTTTGGTGATTCCATATTAAGGAGTACTAGTAGTATGAGTTTAGATATATCAAAATATCATTATAAAATTCTTGTGAATAAACTAAAGTCTTTTATACTGTAACATTACTAAACTATCGATTTGATATACATGCTAATGAACATGCCGCCTACATTTTAGTCAAGTATTTAAATGCTTCTTTTTTAATGAATCAATTGAAATATTGGATTATATTTGTATCGTATATTCTACATTGAAAATAAACAGTTCATATTCCTTCTAAATGCTAATGAGATATAGAGAAAACTATTCATTCTAATTTGATACTGACACAAACAATTTCTTATTGAAATAGAATTAAATAGAAGTAATATATCATTTGAACATTTTCATGCTCAGAACGGGCATCTTAATTAAAGGTGATATATAATTATTTTATATATTTGCCGTAGTTTATAAATAATAATAAAACTTTGATAAGTGAAGAGAACAGTATGGAGAAAGTTCATTTTTTTTTAATAATTTTTATTATTTATATCCTGTCTTTCTTTCTATAAATACTTCATAATAATACGTCAACTCACAAATCCTATATGTGTGCATTAATTCCATTTCATTGACGTCTTTGGTAACAGCACGCCTCCGACGTATGTTGCCTATATATAGATAGATAATCATTATCAAAGTTACATTTTTTCTCTGGTCTATTCCATTTCAATGTCTATAGCAACATTATTATCTTCTATTCAACAATTGTTTCGAATTGGTGGTCCCATATTATTATTTATTGGTATTACAAGTTGTATACTAAATTTGTTAGTACTAAGAAGAATTAGTCTACGGAAAAGTCCATGCACAATCTGTTTAGTTGCTGTTAATATTGTCAATTTGGCCTATTTGTTTTTTGGTTTCCTTTTTGCGGTATTTTTAGTCGGTTATAATAGCGATCCTAGTACAAGCAGTATTATTTTCTGTCGATTTCGTAATTATATGAGCTTTATTCTTACATGCTGTGAACCATCTTGTCTTATTTTGGCATCCATTGATCGTGTATTAGTTACTTCACCAAATGCTGGAACTCGAAGACGCAGTACACGTCGATTAACAATCATAAGCATGATTGGTATATGTTCATTCTGGGCTATATTTCATATTCATACATTGATTTTTATACAAATTGTACAATATGGAACTAACTACTTTGTTTGTATCTATCAACCAGGTGCATACACTACATTCATATCATACTATTCACTTGTTGTTACTGGATGTCTTCCACCTACACTCATGGCAATATTTGGCTGTTGGACAGTGAAAAATATTCGTCAAGTACGTCGTGTTAGACATAATGCTAGTACAAGAACTACTGCAACTGTAGTAGTAGTTGGTGGAGCACATACTCTTCAATCCAAGGACCAACAACTTATCCGAATGTTATTTATTGAAATACTTAGTTATATTATTTGTAAGTATCCAGGCACACTCATGCTCATCTATCAACAAATCACTCAATATGATATTAAAAGTGATGAGCGACGACAAATTGAACAAGCTATTCAGGAACTCACAGCGTTTTTGTATTTTGTGGAAAACAGTATTGGTTGTTATACAAATATGATTGCATCGAAGACTTTCCGCACAGAACTAAAACGTATTCTTATAAAAATCCCTACGTATTTTCGTTCTTCAGTAGCATAAATGTAAATGTTTCGACACTATAACATTGATCTTTTTTATAGTATCAATGAAAAACAAATATATATTGTAAAGTGATGAAAATGAATGAGAAGCTATATTTCTAATAGAAAATAGAACTATGTATGTCTTCGAACGCATTCGATATGATACGAAATGCAGTACTAAATCTATTATCTTTTAATCGATCTATGAACGGCATTGGATTGATGTTGAGAAGGATAGTACATCAAGTAGCTATATCATCTATTTCTCAAGAAAAGACCCATAGTTAATATTAATCGAATATTCAACAAATAGTGGACATGTTATTGTTAAAGTATCACCTACTAATACTGGACAATATACGGCTCGTATATGTATGGAGGAAGTTATTTTGACTCATGTATCTTCTGGTAAACTTATAACAGATTAAGGTCTCCACTTTAAAAACGAACTTTCTCAAGCTATTACCATTTTAGTTGGCTATGAACGTGTTTTTTTTCACTTCATACCATCCTCAAACCAATAATGGTCAAACTGAACATTGAAATTCAATATTTGCTACACAATTGAATAAACACTGTAATATCGACCACAATACTCGAAATATTTATGTCTTTTAAATCCAGTATGCGTATAATAATGACATTTATCACTCTACGGTCTTCACTCCATATCAAGTAGCTTTCGATCGACTATCATTAAATCCTGTTAAACCTGCTTGATCTAATTGTGTTTGTTAGAAATCATATGACTACTGGATACAAGCAATCAGTTACCAAAACAAATTACGATGGAAATCGTCAACATCCAAGAACACATAGTTGATAGCTTAACGTGGTTTAACTTTCTTCATGGACGTACTAAATTAAGTACACAGTACTATGGTTGTGGTTGAATTAGTCAGAAGAAGAATATATTACCAGGAGTATATTACTTTTTTCCTCAATCTGTTCCTTCTTATCACGCTGAGACTCATTATAGAATCCACTGATATTGTGAAGAAAAGCGATCATAGCTGGAATTGTTTTTGTAAACAAGAAAGGAAGAACGATAAAAGTAGTTTCGTACATTCGGAAAGAATCTTTTGTTAACAGTATTCCATTTCTTTAACTACATACATAAAAGTCGAAAGATTATTTACTGAAAAATATTCCTGATAATTAAGAAAATCGTGAAGAACAATAAAGTTGAACGACAGTTTTATTATCAGAAATTGCTCTTTATATCAAAAATAAAAAACATAATGCTTCATTAATTACGAATGTTTTTATAGCGGCATTGCTAATGATACACAAAATGTTCGTTTGAAACAAAATCACAAGAAAATAATTTATCGTATCAAATATTTTATAACTGAGAAGAATTTCTAGATCAAATGCAAAAGATAGTATATTCAATATAATTTTAATAATTGTCTAGGTTACTTTTTTCAATCTTTTAATTAATGAATTACAAGTGATAGATGTGAAAAGCAGCATGACTAAAATCAGCTTATTATAACATTTTTCCATCAATTCATATGTCGATAATTCTCTTCAACCAAAATCTCTATATTTTGTCACATATCATCCATGTCTCTTTAATTATCAAAATACGTGTTTTATATATAAAGGATTAAAAAAAGTTCTTTTTTCTATAATGTTTTCTACTACCCGCGGTTATCTCAATGTCTCCATCAACGTTATTGGATTCTTTTCAATAAAATATATTTTTATTTTTAGTCATTCCATATTATCAAGTAAGAGTACAACCAGTTATATATTAAATTTCTTAATACTTACAAAACATACTCTGACGTGAAAATTCATGCACAATCTACTTAATAGTTGATGTTAATATCTTTAGCAATACGCACGGTCGCAGCCTACTACTTAAAAATAGATTGATAGTAAAATGTATCAAAATTGAAATTAAGTTGTTTACTCGATATACCTTATGTTATTCGAAGTTAAAAGGAGTTAGACTACTGACAAAAAATGAATAGCTTCTTCTATAGTTTTATCTAATCAAACATTAATGACCGAAACATTATGACGTATAGTTTATGTAACTGAATTCATTCATCACATAGATATATCATTATAAAATTCTTTTCAATAAACTATAGTCTTTTATGTTGTGCCATTATTTAATTTTGATAAATAGCTTAGTATATGCATATCTTTAAGTGTTCGATCCAATTTTGATTATGTAATACGAACAGTTCATATTCTACTACTTCAATTTAAAAAACAGCTTTCTATCAATTAAAAAATAGTGTTTCCGATGCCTAATAAACAAAGAAATATCAAAATGATAGAATTATTTTAATAATAAATCTGTTTCGAAGGTAGTCGAATTGGTATATAAGCAAATCAATATCTCATGTATATTGTAATCATTGAAATGTTCAAATATCTCTTTTTTGATGAATCAGTTTAAACTTTAGATTACGTTTGCATCGTTGATTCTATGTTAAAAATAGGCGATACATGTTTCCATTCAGTGCTAATGAGATATAATAAAATTTATTCATTCTGTTTCAATAGTGACACAAACAATTTCTCATTCAAGTAGAATCAAAAAGTAATAGTTTATCATTTGAACTTTTTCATGTTCTTAAAGGACATCTTAATTAAAGGTGCTATATAATTATTTTACACATTTGCTTTAGTTTATAAATAATGAGATGATTTTAATATATGAGCAGAACAGTGTGAAGAAAGTTCATTTTTTTTTAATAATCTTTATTACTCGTATCCGTTTTTTCTTTCTATAAATACTTCATAATAATATGTCAACTGACAAATTCTCTAGGTGTCTATTCATTTCATCTAACTAACGTCTTTTATAATATCATACCTCAGACGTATGTTATATATATAGACAGATAATCATTACCAAAATTACATTTTCTGTCTGATCTATTCCATCTCAATGTCTACAGCAACATTATTGGTTTCTATTGAACAACATTTATTTCAAATTGGTGGTCCCATATTATTATTTATTGGTATTACAAGTTGTATACTAAATTTGTTAGTACTAAAAAAGATAAGTCTACGAAAAAGTCCATGTACAATCTGTTTAGTTGTTGTTAATATTGTCAATTTTGGCGATTTGTTTTTCGGTTTACTTTTTGGACTACTTATGACTGGTTATGGTATCGATCCTACTTCGAACAACATTGCTCTTTGCCGAGTTCGTTATTACATGAACTATATTCTTTCATGCTACGAAGCATCTTGTCTTATTTTGGCATCCATCGATCGTGTATTAGTCACTTCACCAAATGCTGGAACACGAAGACGTAGCACACGTCGACTAACAATCATAAACATAATTATTGTATGTTCATTTTGGGCTGTATTTCATATTCATGCATTGATCTTCACACAAATTGTACAATATGGAACTAACTATTTTGTTTGTATCTATCAACCAGGTGAATACGCTGTATTCATAACATATTATTCACTTGTCGTTATTGGGTGTCTTCCACCTGCACTCATGACAATATTTGGCTGTTGGACAGTGAAAAATATTCGTCAAATAAGTCGTGTAAAACATGATGCTAGTACCAGAGGCGCCGGATCTGTTGTGATTGGTAGATCACATACTCTTCAATCCAAAGATCAACAACTTATCCGAATGTTATTTATTGATATTCTTAGCTATATTGCTTGTAAGTACCCGGTTTCAATAATGCTCATCTATCAACAAATCACAGCATATGTTAATAAAAGTGATGAGCGACAACAAATTGAACAATCAATCCTCGGATTCACATCTTTTTTGTATTTTGTGGAAAATAGTATTGGTTGTTATACAAATATCTTGGCATCGAAGGCATTCCGTGCAGAACTAAAACGTATTCTTTTAAAAATTGTTCATTATTTTCGTTTTCAATAACATGAATGTAACAATTTCGGCACTATAACATTGATTTTGTTTTATGTATGAATGAAAAACAAATAAATGTTGTAAAGTGATGAAGACGAATGAGACGTGATATTTCTACATAGGGTAGTCAAAACGTTCTACAAACAACTGTCTAGAATTCTATCGTGGTTGATTTTATTTCTCATATTGGCCCATTTTAGTAATAACATCTCTTACACATTCAAATACCAATATGAAATTTCATAACTGTCTATTATGGTGAATTTTCAACGAATTTTTAGAATACCTGTAATTTCGTATATAAAAACTGGTTTATTATTAGGCTTAACTGCTGCTTATGGGTAAGATATAGTTTCATATAGTACAGTTACTCGATGGATCCACCCATTTTCATATGAGCGGGAATCCTTAGAAGATATTGTTCTCGATTTTAATTATCTTCAAGAGGAAAAAATCAAAGTTATGGCACATCCACCGTATTCATCTGACCTTGTACCTTCAGATTTTTGGTTGTTCAATTATCTGAAACGTTATCCAAGAAGCTCAATTCACTACCTATTCACGAATACCATAAGACATCCCAGAAATGGATTGAAAAGATGAAACACTGCAAAAAGATTGGCAAAATGTTTTCTCTATGAATAAATAATTAAAAGTTACATAACTTTTTAACCATCTTATATAATAAAAGAACGATCTAATTTCAAGATCGAAAAGATGGGATGTTTTTATTTACCAAATAAAAATTTATAGTTTCCCTTGTACGATTTCAATATTTCGTTGTACTTCTTGAAGTTGAAGATCTTCAGAAGACAGTACACATTGTAAAATATTTAAAGCACGTTTGTAATACAAGAGTGCAGTCGGATAATTATGTATATTTTTGTAAACCAATGCGATATTGTTATAATAAGCTGCTAAATTTGGATGATTATTAGGGAGAATTTTTTCGAGGATTTCACCTCCTTTTATATAATATTCAAGTGCCTTAGAGTAGTCTCCCATATGGACATACACCAAAGCGATGTTATTATAGGAACTAGCCAAATTAGGTTGGTTTATTGGAAGAGCATTTTGTCGAATTTCTAACGCTCTTTTGTGATACGAAAGTGCTGTATCATAGTTTCCCATTTTATCATACACCAATGCAATATTGTTACAGAAACCTGCCAAATTAGGATGATTTGTAGGAAGAACGTTTTCGAGGATTTCACCTGCTTTTTTGTAAAACTCGAGTGCTTCGTTATACTTTCCCATAGAATCATATACGGAAGCAATGTTGTTATAGGAACTAGCCAAAGAAGGATGGTTTTCAGAAAGAGCATTTTGTCGAATATTCAGTGCTCTTTCTTGATACGAAAGTGCTTTGTCATAGTTTCCCATTTTGTCATACACCAATGCGATGTTGTTATAAACAGCTGCTAAACTTGGATGATTTGCAGGAAGAACGTTTTCGAGGATTTGACCTGCTTTTTCATAAAGTTCAAGTGCTTCTTTATAGTTTCCCATAGACTCATACACGAAAGCGATATTGTTATAGGAAACAGGTAAGCTAGGATGATTTACAGGAAGAGTTTGTTCTCGAATTTTCAATGCTTTTTTCATGAAGTGAAGTGCTTTCGAGTACTCTCCTGTAGAAGCATGTACACTGCCGATGTTTTGGTAAGAAGTGGCTAGGGTAGGATGATTTTCTGGAAGAATTTTTTCGTAAGTTTCTCGTGCTTTCTCGTGAAATAAAAGTGCTTTAGAATAATCTCCCATTTCATCATACACTGAAGCGATATTGCCGTAACAAGTACCCAATTCAGATTCATCGATAGGACAAGCTTTTTGTCGAATTTCCAATGCTTTTTCCAGAAATGAAAGTGCTTTCGAATATTTTCCTGCAAGCACATACACGGTACCGATATTGTTGTAGGAATATGCCAAATATTCATGAGTTGGAGGAAGAATTTTTTCATTTATTTTCAATGCTTTTTTGTAATTCTGAATGGCTTCTTCATACTTGCCTTGATCTGTTTTAATATAACCAAGCTGATGATAATGAAGTGCTTTCTCACTTTCTTCAGATGTTTGTTCCAGTCGTGCACAATAAAGTTCTTCGGCCTTATTGGGTTCACCTATTGCGAGTAACAAGTTTCCCAATCGCTCCCATCCATTCTTACCCTTAGCTTCTTCACTTATACGTTCAGTGAGTATCCGCAATTGTTCATCGTCATCATCAGTCAGACGAAGGTCGACTTGATAAATCCGGTTAGCTTTATCAATTTCTTTAATTTCATCGATGCGAAAAACAGTGTGCATGGAGAAAAGAATTTCGTTTTCGTCTCCGTAAGAACTAAGTTGGTGAATGTCGGCGAATGGACTCGACGAAACAGTTGGATTGACATTAATAACAAAATGAACACCGACCAAACCACGCGTTTCACTCCCAGCACCGAAATATTCGCAGACATCCGATTGTCTGCTAGTGGATAGGAAGTTGTTGAAGGATATTATTCCACCTTTCGTTTCTTGAAGTTTATTAAAATCTTTCTCTGATAAATGTTGTCCTCGGTAAACTTTGAAAGATTGATTCTTGTAATTATCAACTTGCTCTTCATATAGCTGTTGGATCTGATGATGTAAATCTCGAATGAAGAAGCCCATTTTCATAATGGTATCAACTTCCAACGTTCGCAGAGCACGGTTGAGTACTTCATACGTAATTGATGTATCAGTATACCAGTAGATGGCTTTTTGAGCATTATAGTCTTTTTCAAATTTATCGATTTTGGGTGACGTCTTGTTTTCACCGATCCGGCAGAAGTTGATGAAATTTTTGATAGCATTTTCGTCATCTTTTATTTCGAAAAGAATTTCCTTGAAAATTTTAGTATACATAAATATGTGATCCAGTTCATTGAGATTTTTAGTTGCAGTTACTTCGTCCTTTGGAATGAGAGTCATAGAGATCGAATCTTGATTTTGCTGTTTGATAATCGACTGTGATGCATCACAAATGGGTTTGATTTCAGTGTATACATCCTTAATTTTATCCCATTTTTTCGTCCACTGTTCGTGATGATGAGAGTTGCTGTCAGACAAAATACAAATAGCGACAACATTTGCGTTGCTATGAATATTTGGTACTAACTCTTCTCCTAAAGATTCTGCGATAACAACAAGAGCCTTTTCATGGTCGATGCTATTAAGATGTTGAATACACTGGTCCATGCTCTTACATATGATAATATCATCGATCGGGAACTGAAAACTGGCCAAAATTTTCTGGTAATCTTCATCCGGTTGGTCGATGCTGCTATCAACCCAAATAAGTAGATAACCTCTTCTCATAAACCGTCTTAAATGACAAACATCAGACACTTCTGATTTTGACTCACTCATATCGATGTTAAGTATGTGTTTGTACTAGTTTTTATCCTATAAAATAAAAGAAAATGTAAATAATTTTTGAAGTTCATATAGAATTCATATTTTCAGTTCTTTTAAAAATATAACTACGAACAGCAAAACTGATCAACAGAATTATAAGGATGTTTTTTATTACTCTTGCTCCGTTCTTTTTTTTTACACTTATACAAATTCCAACCTTAAAAGTGTTTAAATAAACACGTTGTGAAGAAAAAAAAAAGGTGATGTATAAATTTTTGTTCTTCTCTCTTAATCTGCTTGTGACGCTCTCGCATACATGCGCTGTACTCATGCTGTTTATTATTTTGATTCTTATCTAGTGGATTAACTTTTTTACGTCCTTATTTCAGTCCATCTTGATTAGGGGTATTACTTTACCTTTATTTTACTTTATAATAAAGAATAAAAACGTTTTTTTTCTGTCGAAACGTACTTTACTTATTTTCTTAGAGTAGCTTACAAAAATTTATGATATTATATAGTTAACTATAATATTGAATAGCATTTTTCGTATATATCGTTTCTTGTGTGATCCTTTTTCTGTATGGTATGGCATATAGAAACGGCGATGATGATGATGATACGAAAGAGCGTTAACAAACGTATTCTGTTGTTGTACAGGGTATCTGCATATGTGCTTTGGCATTATCTTTCTTTTCATTCGATTTGATGGACGAGTATATAAGCGTGTGCTTTACATCAGTACGATGCGATTCTTGAGAGGAAGAAATAAATAAAGGCATATTATCATAAGCGCATACATTTCTTCCATCAAAATCGCCACACTACTTAATGTTGTTTGCCATTATACATTCTTGTCTTGATTAAATGAGCAAAAAAAATGCGTTGTCATAGTTCACTTCTATGCGGATGTGGGTGTGAGTCTGACTAAAAGATGATCATAACATCCAGATCCATTTCCAAGTCCATATCCTAAATCGGAAAAAAAAGCTACACATATATTTGAAAGCAGCCACCAGAGTAGTACGAATGAATAAAGGAGAGAAAATAATTTATTTCTTTCAGATTATATTTGATTTGCATATATGCATAATTAAACTTGAGCGTGCGAGTATGGGTTTGTGTATTAAAAACTAATACTGTACACCTACACACACCCTGTTTTGAATCTTGAGGATGGGTGTGCGTTCAAGGGTGGGATGGACACAATACTCTACATTCTTTAAAACGTCAATATCCTGATGTATCTAACGAAATTTTAAATGATAAATATTCATTGATTTATACAATCGATGGATGAATAGACAGCAATAAAGTGTTGATAGGAAACAGTATAGAGATTGCAGACATAAGCCTGGTTTTCATCAACACTTCTATCTTTGAGAAGATTTTGAATATTTAAAGAATTCATTCTCTCATCTTTGAATTGTCTTTACTTATATTTGAGCGTGTGGGCATTTCATTTCATTCATGTCTACATCCTTATTTAAAAAATAGAAGGGTAATCATGTATTCACAACTTGAAATTGAGTTGTTCACTCCAACTAACTTGTGTTTTGTCGAAGTTAAAAATAGTTAAACTATTGACAAAAAAATGAAGGGAAGTTGAAAATATACGAAGCATTGAGTAACTGCTTCTGCATAGTTTTATCTAACAAAATATTAATCATTAAAATATTATGATGTATGTAGTCTAATTAGACTAATATTGGTTAGAAAAATATTATAACTAAATTCATTCATCACACGATACATCAGAATATCATCATAAACTTTTTTTTGAATATACTATAGTTTTTTATATTATTCCATTACTTAATTTTCATCACTTAGTATAAATTTAATAAAATTTTGGATATGAAATATAAAGATTTTATATTCTTTTTTTTTCAATTTAAAAAAGACTTTCTATCGAATAGAATATTAGTTTTCATATCTAATAAACAAAGAAATGTGAAAATGATAGAACTATTTTAATAATAAATCTATCTTAGAACTGTCGAATTGATATACATACTGCCTACATTTTAGTCATTGAAGTATTATTCAAATACTTTTTTTAATGAATCAGTTTAAATCTTGGATTATATTTATATCCCATGTAGATATTTTTTGCCTCAGTGCATTTAAAACGCGTTTGATTTGCGTGCGCAAAGCTAAAAGTGAATGCGAATGAATGCGTTCGTAGCTGGATTTGCGCTCAGATGAGTGCGCGGTGGATATATTGAATCGTTGAATAAATACTTAAATTTAACTTTCGAGTGCCACACTACTGTAAAAAAAGACGCTGCATGTGCTTATTAAATGCTAATGAGATATATAAAAATTTATTTATACTATTATAATAGTGACATAAAGAATTTCTTACTAAAGTAGAATCAACAGAAATAATTCATCATTTGAGGTTTTTCATGGTCGTAAAGGATCTTTTCATTAAAGATGCTATATACTTATTTTACACATTTGCTTTAGTTTATAAATAATAATAAAATTTTGATAAGTGAAGAGAACAGTATGAAGAAAGTTTATTTTTCTTAATAATCGTTATTATTTATATCCTGTCTTTCTTTCTATAAATACTTCATAATAATATGTCAACTAATAAATTCTCTAGATGCCTTTTTATTCCATTTCATTGACGTATTTGGTAACAGCACGCCTCCGACGTATGTTGCCTATATATAGATAGATAATCATTATCAAAGTTACATTTTTTCTCTGGCTATTCCATCTCAATGTCTACAGCAACATTATTATTTTCTATTCAACAATTATATCGAATTGGTGGTCCCATATTATTATTTATTGGTATTACAAGTTGTATACTAAATTTGTTAGTACTAAAAAAAATAAGTCTACGAAAAAGTCCATGCACAATCTGTTTAGTTGCTGTTAATATTGTCAATTTGGCCTATTTGTTTTTTGGTTTCCTTTTTACGGTGTTTGTACTCGGTTATAATAGCGATCCTAGTACAAGCAGTATTATTTTCTGTCGATTTCGTAATTATATGAGCTTTATTCTTACATGCTGTGAACCATCTTGTCTTATTTTGGCATCTATTGATCGGGTATTGGTCACTTCACCAAATGCTGGAACACGAAGACGCAGTACACGTCGATTAACAATCATAAGCATGATTGGTATATGTTCATTCTGGGCTGTATTTCATATTCATACATTGATTTTCATACAAATTGTACAATATGGAACTAACTATTTTGTTTGTACCTTTCAAACAGGTGTATACTCTGAATTCGTAACATATTATTCACTTGTTGTTACTGGATGTCTTCCACCTGCACTCATGGCAATATTTGGTTGTTGGACAGTGAAAAATATTCGTCAAATACGTCGTGTTAGACATAATGCTAGTACAATAGGTACTGGAACTGTAGTAGTAGTTGGTGGAGCACATACTTTTCAATCTAAAGATCAACAACTTATCCGAATGTTATTTATAGATATACTTGGTTATATTATTTGTAAGTATCCAGGTACAATCATGCTCATCTATCAACAAATCACTCAATATGATATTAAAAGTGATGAGCGACAACAAATTGAACAAGCTATTCTTGAACTCACAGTCTTTCTGTATTTTGTGGAAAATTGTATTGGTTGTTACACAAATATGATTGCATCGAAGACTTTTCGCACAGAACTAAAACGTATTTTTTTGAAATTCATTCAACTTTTTCGTTTTCAATAACATGAATGTGAAATTGTCGACACTATAACATTGATTTTGTATTTAGTATTAATAAAGAACAAATAAATGATTTGCGAATAATACTCAAATTTGAAATTCAATCATATGATTATATGAGAAAACTACAAATAAAAAGTTCATTCAAGGAATAGAATTCTTTTAATTTCAAGTTCAGACGGTGAAAGTCTCACCATATATCACTGTTTTTCTCGAATTGTAACATACATATGAACGAGTTTGTTCTATTTATTGTAAGAGAATAGGTCGCGGAGCATGTATATCATCGGCTCTGTTAATTGTAGGTTCTGATGTTCGTTGTTCAGCATTGGTATGTGTATATGACCATGTATATTTAACTTTCGCTGATTGATTTTCTACAGAAATATATTCGCATAGACAGTGAAGTTGACGATGTTGTGTCGGAATTGAATCGAAAGTGATCATTGAATTGCGAGAATGTCGAATATTCAATGAAGTTGATGTATTAATAGTAACATTAAATGTGCCAGTCGTCGACATATTTTCACCAACGATAAAACGTAAAGCATTCTGACAATTAGACTCATAAAGTGTGAGTTCGTTAGTCTGTGGAATGATAAAGAAGAAAAAATATCATTCAAATGAGAAATCACTTGTTAGAATTTTGAAAAAAGTATTCTCTTTACATTTCAATTATCATCTTCTAGATGTATTAAATACCTTTTTTATTACTTTATGATGTTGCATGGCATAAGCAATGAGACAATCCGCTAATACTTTGCCTAAATCTTCAGTAGCCATTACATCCAATTGAATTAATGAATGAATGACTAATGTATATTTGATTTCATCATCCTGTTTTCTTTCTTGATGCCAATAAGAAGTGGAAAATGGAATAAGTATGTATGCACCTGCTGATAATGTCTCTGTCCATTCGTTATACTTCGACCTAATACCGCATAGAAAAGTTCGTTGTTGTCCAATTTGATTATTAGCAATATCACAGAGTACAAACGCTTGTGTATGGTGAATGTTGTGTTGTTGTCGATTTGAATGCTGATGAAAAAGACCCACTGTTATCGTTGACGATCTACAAATATTAATGAAAATATGAATAGATAAATTCAATGTATACTTTCATAAATAATGACATGGGTTTATAATCTTACTAAGCATTCGGATTGAAGAAATGTTTTACCTTTCCAAACGAAAATAATACGATTGTATTGTTTGAGCAGCATGTCGAGTAAATTCACCTTCAAATCGCACATCGAAAAGATCATCACGATATGCGCATATGGTTAACCGACCGAAGTATTTTTGAAATGCTATCCAGGACATCCAAAAGGTACCATTTGCTGCTTCAGCTTGTTTAGTAGAGTGAAGTTCTTCACGTATTTTGGTTGATATTGAATCATCTGTATATTTCGAACTACCATGAGGATTTCTGATAAAAAGAAATCGTTCTGTCTGCGACGAAACATAATATGCAAGAACTGAAAATACATGATTTTTGGCTAAATGAATACGAGTATATTCTTCATCTGGTACATTCGTATTTGGTGTGTCTGCACCCATTAGAAGACTACAAAATAAAAGATATAATGACCTTCATAATTTCAATGAAAACAAAAAAACTCAGTGGAAAATTTCTAAACAATTTGTGGTTACTACTTATATTCAGTTTACAAAAAAAATCGATCAACAAACTTGGCTGTGCATGCTGATATAATTTTTGTCCAGAGTAAATCAAAGTTATCGTCATCATCATCGGTTGATGTTTGTATTGCAATCTGTTCGGAAGGTGCTCCTGTTAAAAGTTGCAATGATTCAGTCATAAAACCACCAATCACACTGGCATAAGAACCCCAAACTTTTGCACATGCTTTTTCAACTAAAGGAACAAACAATTGTCGACGTCTAGCCTAAAAATTTAATCATTCAAATATATCATTACATACGATTATCTGACCTTTGCATATACAAGTTGTTTGCTTGCCGTACAAGGAAAACAATCATCGAGTATGACTATTTTCCACCAACCATTGTGACATATGCGTACTAAATAAATGCCCTCTTCATTCACAGTCGATGTTAGCAAAATGTGAGACAACATGCGCGGTCGTTCTGTAATGAGTGATAATGCTGCCATAAACCAACAATTACCCAATGCACCTTGTTCGATGTCATTCGGGTGTGGATTCGACATGACTGTCCATGGTATTTCTGAGTCATTTTGAGATGAGGATATGTCACGAATTCGTAACCATTCATAAGTAGATGGATTTGTTGAATCGCTATTTATTGAACAAGTGGATGGTATAAAACTATCATCAACAAAATGAATACGGTTCTAGAAAGAATTTTTGATAAAATATACATATGAATAATGCACTCACATCTCGACAATAATGAACAAGATCAATAAATTTACATTCCGCATCTATTTCATCTTTTTCTTGTCGTTGAGCGGCGCTCATTGAAGAAACGATAATAGACGAAAGTCTCTCAAGGTTTGGCTTGATTGTCACTGGTTCTTTTAAGTCTGGCACAGTAGAGTGTTTCTTACCACACGCATCACATTCAGTTTGGTTGGCACTATTGTCAAACGTGCATTCGCGACAGGACCATGGGTTATTATTGATTGCCACAGGTGCATCATTGTCTGTTTCACATTCACTACAGATTGGAAAGGTTGACAGAGCATTGAACAACGTACACACTTTGCATGACCACATCTCATTGCTCGTTGTAGAATTTAATGCCATAGTAATATTAACGAGCACGATATCGTCAAAGTAGATCTAGAAAAAATTATGTAGATATTTTTTTCTTTATCTAGCTGATAAATACTATTGATAATGATTCATCTTTAAGTTAGAATCTATGAAATGCTCATTTAGACATGCATCCCATGTAGACAAAAAACCTACGAAAAATATGATTGAAATCTAATCGATTGTAACTGACTTTTTTCTGATTAAAATCAGATTTTTCAAGCTCTTTTTCCTACATGAGATCCATCCTAAAACGTTTACGTCTGCTCGAATACCAGTGAGGTTTAAAAAGAAGAGTTTCAACAAAAGAACTACACTCAAACTAGAACGATTCTATGAATTTCGATATATAAGTTCGGAAAAGCATACAAAGCTATTCTGTCATTTTAGACACAATTTTCTCAAAATTTGACGACCCAATTCTGCTTTGGTAAAAAATTACACGTATGTTTTTTTTTTCTCAATTGCTATCGTTATTATTGCACGTTATTGATTTAAGAGAACAAGTTTGTTTGGTGGTTTATCTTGTAATGTAACAGAACGAAAAAAAAAACAAAAATAGGGTTGTTAGAAATAAGTCCACATTTTTCTTACTCTTTGCCGATCATAAAGACATGCATTATATTTTTCCTATTAGCAGAAGCTTACTTTTACTTACTAGAAAAAATATATATGATGATGTGTTATGTAAAAATTCAGATAAATAGCTAAATAATGTTTTGTAGGTAGAATATATGTCAAAAGCAACATAGAGAGAAAAGGAAAAATTAAATATTGGTTTATATATTACATCAATAAGTATCACAAAACGAGAGATGGCGTGCATTGTTGTATTGTAATGTCACATCTTGATATTCAATAAAACACGATCTTCAGAAAAGGTATCTTTATTGAAGAAGAGAAAGAGAAAAACAATAAGTAGAGAGAACGGAAGATGAAACGATATATGAATATATGGCGCTAGGACAGAATATCGGTTCAGACTCTTTTCCTTCTGGTATTCCCAGACATCCGGTCGAATAACCGAATGTTCGGAATGAATCTTGATGTATGTTTTTTAACACAGGAAATAATTTATTCATATAGTATATTTTAAGTCGTTGCGAAGCGACCGCTTCTTGTACAGTCAATTAGAGCTTTCAAAATAGTGTAGAGTTCAGTCGTGAGTGATAGATCTTACAGACAGATAGTAGGAATGACCAGTAAAGCTAAAAATTTCTCAATTTTATAGAGACTAGTATCTTGAACATGATTGACTGGAACAATCATCGTACCCATGTCGCTCTTTTTTTCATAAAACCATCGGTAACCGTCGGTCGTGCTAAGAACCAGCGGTGACCGATGGTTGAAGCTAGAACCGACGGTTAACCGCGGTTACCGATCGGTTTTGACTAGTGGATTTTAACGATGAAACGATAAACAAAAACAAACAAAATATATGTAGTGATATAAAAAAAATTAGAAATAATCATCAATATGATTAGAATTCTCTTGTTCTACTAGTTTTATCAAGATTTAAAGAAATAAAACTCATATTTTAAAGCTATACTAAGATGTCGCTTTTTTTTTCTCATTGGATTGATTGAAATTGTTCAAGACTTGTTCATTAGATAAAGGACATAATGAATGAATCGATTGTTGGAGAATGCTTCCTATTCCCAAAAGTTACACATTCCGGAATTGCTGCACCCACCCAATTTAACATCATTCAATTCCGGAATTCCTTGCATACGATTCCTGCCTTTTCCGGAACAGATCGAATTCGATTTCTGCCAATTCCGGAATTCCTTCCATCAGATTAATGCTATTCCTGCCGATTCCGGAATTACGAAAGATATGCTTGATGTAGAAACGAACATGGTGAGCGACTTATTCCATTCCGTAGCGGAATTCCGGAATTCGTGCACAGTCCGGCTTTTCCGG